TAAACTCCCTGTTCTAATCTAAATAAAAAAATATCAATTGTCTTATCTCTTAATTACTGGAACCATTGTAAAATAACACAAAATGTTATACAGTCTTAAACCGAAAATATCTAATTGAACATTGAATTGTTACTATTCAAATTCACACAACCAACTGATGTGTCTATTTTTCCAGTGTTAATAAAATCTGTATTTAAAGACTGAGCCTAACAAAACCTAAAGGAAAATACTTATTTGTTCAACATTTTTTTTGTCCTAACAAGCATACATAATGTCAGATGATAACAACCGTAGTCACTGAAGTAATTACGTTGAATTCCTAAGTAATTCATTGTCTCCTCAAATAATAGTTTTATAACCCACTATTCAGATATTAAATAGATGTGACAGTATGATTATTTGGATGTCCACGGAATTATCGAATATTACACAGCTGAAATGAATTACAAGGTGGCAACTAACTGACAATCAGCTCTCAGACAATGAGTCAGACGTCCGAACCCTCCATATTTACGGAGGTTTAAGCAGCCGGAAAGTATCATTAACCTGTACATAATAAGTTCGGCCCATTACCTAACACTGAAGTATCCACAGGGTTGCTTAGAAAGTTTAGTTCACTTGCACTGTAATCATGATAAATGTTTGACTGACTGACAAAATCAATTTGGAACCACTTCGCATACAGGTGCATCGGCTCAAGCTGTCACACTTCGCAGTAAGACACAAAGAACAGGTAGAGAGAAAAGAGCGGTATCAAAGTAGACAAAACTGTGTGAGGGAATAAAGAATTTGAAAATAAACGTCAGTGTGAATATTCAATCTACGGGAGATGTGACGGAGTGAATACATCTGCCCCACTGTAACCGATTTCCAGCCATATCACCAAGAGTCCTCAATCACTGATTCCTTTAATCTCGGGGACCCCAACCAGACAGTCTACATCTCCTCACACGCCACAGATGATGCAAGTTGATAAATGCCAAACGGACCTTCTGTGTGCGAGCTGAAATTTCGTCAGCAACCACTCCATTCAGTCTGATTCAGCTCCTAAGTAAGTAAAGTGGTAGATAAATATCATCACTTCACTCCTTTTCATTAGGCTGGAAGTGGTTGGAGACCAGTCCCAAGGCATAACGTTACATATGACACATTCCAGCGAAATGCATCCCAAACAATCTCAGATTTCTGCTCAACGCATCTTCACGAAGCAGGACAATATCGTCTACATACTCCAAGTCAGCTAGATGACCTCCAGGGAGTAAGTCAATCTCTGTGAAGTCAGACTAATCTAAGCTTATGTCCATTTGTATGTCTATGGTAAAGTTAAGTAGGAACGGTAACAAGTAATGGACGTCCATGACGGACACCAATAGTTGTGGTCAATTGTAAAAACAACTCTCCATAAGCCCTAACACAGTTGCATGAGTTTGAATCGAGAGTTTGATTAGAGTTATTTACTTGGTCGGTATTTCCTTCATAATCAAACATTGTCACAACACCTCATGGTGTTGATAAATGTATCAGTTCACATATTTAATGTTTTTAAACAAATATCTTAGATATCAGATAAAACCTTTATGTGAGAAATAATAGTAAGCACAACTGTAAGGGATGATAATTCATTTCATTCGCTTGAATGCATAATGATAATCAGCATGATATCATATTGAAGCCATTCTGTTGACCGCCTATAAAAACCTGACATTGTGAACACTGATCTCTAGAAAATCTAACAGCAGCACAAGAATTGATGGATTAAAACAAATATATTCAGTCATACAATGGGGTAGAGTAGATGTAAGCGTTGAAGAAATTATAATTTTCAAATTTATGATTCATTTCTTTAATGATAGGGATTGAAATGATGGAGTGTGTCAACTAATTCACTACTTGGGGAGTTTGTATCAGCTCAAATGGGCTGGTGCTGGCTAAATCTCAGCTTACATACAGAAGATCCGTTTCGGACTTGGCAACTCTGGTCACCTATGGCACCTGCAAGATATTCGATTACCTATCAAAGGACGGGTATACTGCGCTCCAGTATGTTCTTTCCTGTTTTGTGACTATGAGACATGGTAGTTAAAAGTAGGGACACGAAGCGACTACAGGATTTAAACCACAGATGTCTCCGTAGCATTGCCTTTGCTTGGTGGAATCACCGTCTGAGTAATGTCGAGGTCAAGTGAGGGTAATAAGCAAGACACGCAATTCGATTAGTGAGGTTGTGAACCTTCATCGACTGAGATGGCTTAGGCATATATTGCTCATGCCGATTCACAGCCTACCTTGATGTGTCATACTGGAGGAAGTTGGATTAGGTTGGAAGACGGTTAAGAGTGACCAGACCAAGACGTGGTAGAAGTCGATGAAGTCTGTAACTGATGGTCTGAGCCATGTAAACTGAGGCTGGTTACAGTCCCCAAGATGGAAGGAATCAGTGGTTAAGGACTCTTGGTGATATGGCTGGAAATCGGTCACAATGGGACAGATGTATTCACTCCTTCACATCTTCGAAAGCTTGAATATTCTCAGTAACCTTTATCTTCAACCTGCTTGTTCTGTCTCACAGCTTTATCACTCTTTTTCTCTCCACCTGTTTTTATGTCTTACTGCGAAGTGTGACAGCTTGAGCCGATGCACCTGTATGCGACGTGGTTCTATGTTAATTTCGTTCGTCTGTCTGAGCATAAACCTCGTCTTTTAGTAAAGCATCTCCTGTTTGTATGCTTTGAATTTAGAAGGTTGTTGATTTGTTCATCTACACCATGCATCTAATTAGATAATAATAGCTTACGTATTGTAAAATGTCGTTTCAGATAAGCATGAGACTAGTCTAATTTAACTGGGGAAATCTACACACAAGCATGGATGGCTTCCAACTACTCATGCTACTTAGTAGTATGCTTTATTAGGCGCAAATTCTCTTAAATGTAAGAAATATAGAGATTTCATCTGCTGACCTCTTTCTTATAATGTAAACGTTGAAATTTCTGAAATAGTTCTTGACTAGAAGTATTGTATTACATTTTGTTTTGGAGTATTATAGTAAAATATCATTAGTAACTGGCAAATATATCCTGCTGCATAGAGTTGCATCATTAAAATGTTGAGTATTGAATCATGCTAATGTTGTGCAATATAACAAGATTATTCAAGGGCCAAACGAACAGGTCAACATAGAATCTGGCATAGAGGTGTCTCACTTCAAGTAGCCACATTTCACAGCAACATTCAAAGAATAGGTAAGCAGAAAATGAATGGCATAAGGGTTTGTAGAAGTATGTGAGAGGAGAGGAGTTTAAAGATGACAAAGGATGCTAATATATCTAAGCCATTATGACCGATTTCGAGCCTAACAGTAGACAATCAGTCTTACACTAAGTTTTCTTAACGATCTTTATTTTTCTATTGAGTGTCATCTGAGTCTTGTTGAAGCCGTCAGTTTCTAGTAGTGAAAAGTCTCCCATCTATTACATCTAAAGAAAGTACAACTGTACTATTGAGACAGGAATCAATATTCTAGAGGACTGAATGAATTCCAATTGTCAAGTAATCCTGAAAACTGTCAAAATCCAGTCAGTCACCTCAAGTGATGTCGAATCTCACTCAATCTTATTTATCATCTGATTACCATGTCAAAATTCACCTGATTAATTGACAATCATACATTGAGTATTGTTACATCGGTAAATAAACTGATAAATCTTAGATCACTTACTTGAACTGATGACTGAAAACTATATACTCTGACACCGTGAAGTGATGACGTTTTGCACGTCTCACTATCTAAATATCACTGCCTTCACTACGCTTTACCCATGCCTTTAAGTCAGCAACTGAAGTGAACGCAAGTTAACGCACCTGCAACCCTTCAGCTATTAATCTTCCTTCTCCTTTCTATATGAAACAGAGAACAAAGATTGGTGGTCACTATCCTTGTTATTCAGTATTGTGCTCTTTGGCATGCAAATACACATGCGAAGAGTTTGTCTACAGCGCATTATGGTTCACAAAAATGAATTAACTTATTTTATACATAGAAATCGGCGTTCATAAGTTGTACGGAAATAAGTAAAATGTCGGTACAAAACTCTTGAGCTGAGACACACAATAAGACTGTAAGTTTCAGGCTGGCATTCATTATGGACTGAAATCATTTGGAGAAACAGTAGAAATCTGGCTGCATTGAGCAGCTGTTTCGTCCTAGTATGGGACTCCTCATCAGCTCCTGACCATGACCCCACCTTGCCGGTAGTCGACCCCAGATCCTTCAGGTTCCACGGCCACTAAGCCACTAGGTCGGAATCCAGTAGTAATGAATACCAACCTCAAATCAATAAATAAATCCCCCCAAACCCAAAAATTTAATACAATAAGTCTTAAATAAGATGTCCTTTAAAATAAAAAAGCGCAAGGGATAATGCTTGCTTGAGCCTTTCTCTCTTTTCCCTGTTCCTTAACAACCAGTACCAGTTCTTGTTTGATACTTATAATCGCCCGTAGTTATACTGGGTCGACCTGTTCGACCGCTGTCGGCAGATAGGCTCCTGAGCGGAGGCCTCGATACTGCCCGTATACTCAGTATGTTGTTGAGGTCAAACAGTTTGACGCAGTATAGCAACGGCAGATTACAAATCTTGAACAATATCTGATACCCGTTCCACAAAAGGTGGCTATCGTGGATAGCACTTTGGCGTTTGAAGTAGTGGATACTGGGTTTGAGCCTCATTTGCAACGACCTCACTCGCTGGTCTGCAGGTTCAGTCAGCTGACAAGTCCTAAACAGGATGAAAAGCGTGTCCTGGATTCCACTACTAGCCACTAAGGAGGTTAAAATTTATCCATTCTTTTTCACCACAGTGAAGTAATCAACTCTTATTTTGCCTTTCCATTTCATTTCTTATCACTTGAACAAATTCAATCTGTATGCATTTTAATTATTGTATGTAATTCATTCGAATGGAATAACCTTCTTTCTGCTTGTTGTTTTTTGGCAATAGAATGCAAAAAGTTGAGCCAGATGAGTACAATTTCATGCCGAATACTTGGGTTCTACCACAAGAGTATGGTTACTTTTCAAGTTATGCCAAAAAGTTATACAAACAAGGATCGAATACTTGTTTTATACAAAAACCAGCCAATGGTGCAATGGGACATGGGTGAGTTGGTGAACTGATTTCTACTCTTGTTGCTTTTGTCGTTGTCTTGTTAAGCACTGAATAGTCTGAATGAGAATGATTATGGTGTGTAGGTTGATGACCAGAAAATTTTCATTAACTTCATAGTCGTTTTCAGCTTCAGCAGCACAGTACCGCTTTTCATTCTACTAGATGCTTTCTTAGTTAGATTGATTTCCAACCTCTCATTGGCGCTTACCTTGAATCTGTACACTGTCATAAGAACAGCCCTACATTTGTCGATAAATCATTATTCGCTGCCTAATAACCGTCAAATGTTTATTTTTGTTAATTTATATTATTTTCGGTTTAATCTTTAGAAGATGAAACATGATCTCTGAGTCATAAAGAAAATAAGTGATAGTTCAGAGAAAAAAAGTTTCTTTTTTGGTGATATCATTTTCTAAAGCTGTACAATCATATATATATATATATATATATATATATATATATATGGCATGGCTGGAAATGGGTCACATTGGTGCAGGTGTATTCACTGTTTTGGTTCTTCTAAGGCTTGAACACTCACTAACCTTTTTCTTCAAACTATCGGCTGTCATTTACAAGTTTTTATGCTTTGATACCACTCCTTTTCTATCCACCTGTTCTTTGTGTACTACTATGAAGTGTGGCAACTTGAGGCGATGCACCTGTGTGTGAGGTGGTTCTAGGTTGATCTTGTCGGTCGGTCAGTCAGTCAGTCTATGACATTATTTACTGTACAACAGACAGTAACTTTTTCCATAGGAAAGACTTTCTCCCGCGTTACATCCTTATTTTACCTAGAAATTTACTGTTATTTTAAGAAAGTGAAAGGGTTTACAGACCATCGAAAATAGCTTCAATTCGGCAGATCGGTCTTTATATAACGCCAATTATTCAGTTACTAGTTGTTCAGTTAGTAATCTTGTCTCATCAGTTTGACTGTCTGAGATGGTCATGGTTTGGCAGACTTGTATTGATACTGAGTGATTACTGAACGTGAAATTGAAAACCACTCCTCTGCAGGACTTGAACCAACGACCACTGGGTTTCCTGCCTGTTGCTCTACCAAGTGAGCTATGACACCCGACTGCTGACCAGACTTTTATTTGAGTTCAATCACCAAGGGTTTTGCGCAACTGCCACATGAATTCGTGAGGTGCTAATATCGCTTTATGGTACTCACATTGGCTATTCAGTAGGGATTTCTCACGCCAATTAACTTCTACTTGAATGAGAGTGGGGAGTATAATATTAACTGACTTTTTGAGATAGCAGTGGTTTGGTTGACTTTAATTTAGAATTCCTGACTTAGAAGCCAGTGTGAGTACGATCAAACTATAGTAATGGGTCACTAATTCATATAGGAGTCGGGCGAAACCCGTGGTGACTGAAGTGAAACAAAAATCTGATCAATAGTCGGGTATTGTAGCCCAGTTAGTACGGCACCGGGCAGGAAACCTGGTGGCCGCTGAATCGAGCCCTATCCCGGCCAAGATCTTCACCTTATCTTCGGTCCTGTTTTAATCACTGACAAGTAACTTCAAGCGTTCATAATATTCAATCATCACAACAGTAGGGTATATGACATCAGAAGTCGGACTGTTTTCCAGTCTTTAAGATGTATGAAAGGAGAAATTACGCTTTATCTAACTATGGAATCTGCTCATGGAATTACAAATACGACTACTCCTGGAAAGAATAAAAAGCTTAAAGTTGGAATCCTGGAGATTGGCGTGTGTAGGTACAGTGATGCCTGGAATTCGATTCTGTTTAAGCAATGACCTCATTTTTCCATATTAAGAGATATTTACTACGGCTTAGGTAACTAGTCAATAGCCCTGTAAAATGCATCTTCATACATAACAGAGCAAAGTCATTCATGTGATATAACAAATCTGAAATTAAAAATGTGATGAAAAAGTTACAATCTTCCCCTAAACGTATTTGATGCTGTTTATTTGGAAAACGGAGATACTAATCTCCCGACATATGAACATAATCTGTAACATAAAAATCATTGAAAGTCTTGGATTAACAGAAACCTAGTGTAAACATTAAAATACACTTTTGAAGAAAGCATTCAACCCAACCAAACGAGTTAGATAAAATCCATGAAGAACATTACATTTTTCATTGTTTGGTAAAAATGACTTCGATAAATTTTCAAACTTTATTTTCACTTCTATAAAAAGATCTTGGAAGCACTTCTTTTGGTCTTTTGAGGTCACTTCAATGCAATTAATCAATAACTTTCAAGGTTACATTCAGGTAGGCAAGTGTATCTGTAGTAACAGAAGATTCCTATAGATGAAGAAGGAAAAATGAAAGAAACAAAGAAAAGTATACAACACAGCATGCTACAACATATAAATTCATCCTTTTTTAAGTAAAATAATGAAAAACATATTGTGCTCCAAATACTGTTGGTTTTTTAAGTCAAAGTATGGCTTTCCAATACAACTGTGTGATAAAACTTTATTCTATTAAAGCTTGGTCTTCATGATATGACATCAGAGTTGTGTATCTATTAAGATTATCTTGAAATCCGTGCTTACTATGATCCTACGGCCTGATTTTAGGATTAATTACTTACAAAAAGACGTCTATATCTTTTATATGAATCTTCTCATTATTTTTAGAGCATCTACGATCTTACAGTGATCTGAAAGAAGCTTATTGTTTATGAAAAGTATTATTTTATCAGTGGTGCAAATAATTAGGTTATATTCTGGTCTTTTAAGGCCTTGAGTATTTCCTAGTTATGTAACATAGGAATCAGCCTGACGAACATAGTGTCTACGATTCTGGGTTCTATAATCATTAGACACCTGAGTGGAGCTCGGGAATAGCAAGCCCGAGAAAAACAGGCAGGCTTCAGATCTGGCCGTGCATGTAACGACCAAATGTTCACACTGCGCCAGGTTCTGGAAGACAAGCACTCTTACCGCCTCCCGACAATAGCTGTATTTTTCGAACTGAAGGGGGCATTCAACTCCGTCGATCGAGAAGTCGTATGGCAGTGTTTCTCATTGAAAGGGGTACCGAGTAAGTACATCACCTTATTGATGGCTCTTTACTCGCACACCTGTGGACATATAAGAGCCTGTGGTGAGATATACAGTGAGTTGTGTAAGTCGACTAGTGTCCGTCAAGGATCTCACTCTCTTCATTCTTATTTAGTTTTATCATAGATGTTCTTATGGAGGCTTCCCACTCGTCATCTGAATACACGGGAATTGACCTGATCACAGGAAGAATTTTGGTTGATCTATAATACGCAGATGACATGATCCTGTTAGATGAAGACACTGATAAGATGCAGCGTATTCTGAACACTTTAAGTTGCAGCATTAGGATTTTTACGATACGTTTCTCACCACCCAAATGAAAATTGGTCTTCAACAGTGTGCCGAATAACAACACAGGGTGAAGTGATTGAGCGCGTTGAACGCTTCATTTACCTGGCAAGTCGGACCAGCCCTTTTGGGTCAGTGGTCGGCGAAATCTCTGCACGAATACAAAAGGCTCGGTAAGCTTTCATCAAATTGCTCCATTCGTGGAACCAAAGCGATTTCCGGTTGTCCATCAAGGATCGGGTGTACTGCGGTGCAGTTTGCCCCATTCTACTGTAGATAGATGTGAAACATGGGCATTAAACTTAGGAGTCACGGGAGGGCTTCAGGTGTTTGTTCATCGTTGCCTTCGTAGCATAGGGCGTGATTCGTGATGTCACTATATGGGCTAAGCAGAGGTCGGATGGAGAGTTTAGGCCGAAGGAGTAAATCAGTTGATGCGATTGTGAACCTTCATCGAGTAGGGTGAGTGGAACACGTGCTAATGCATGCCTAACCACCGTCTGCCTCGTCACAAAATGTTGGCCGAAGTAGTTTCAGGTTGGAAAAAGGCTCGGTGCAGCCAGACTAAAACATAGAATCAATGCATGAAGTCTTTGACTGTTCGTCTAAGCCACGTAGAACTATGCAGACTGAGGTCCGCACGACAAGAAAAACCAGTGGTTGGAGACTCTAAGTGATATGGTTCAGAATCGATGTCAGTTATGCAGATGCATGCACACATTATCCTCATCTTAACCGCTATACTCAATCCCGTCGTCTCATTGTTCCTTCCTCTCTTTTAGTGCTTTCTACTTCTACTTCCTTTGACCGATTTTTCTCTCCTTCTCCATCTTTATTTTATTACCTTATTACTTTATGTGCTGATATGAGGTGTGGCAGCTTGGACTCTTACGTAGTAATGCCTGGTCCTATGTTGATCTTGTGGGAGTGAGTGATGTTCTAGCAAAATAAACTCTCTCAGCAACCGTATACGTGTCCAACCACTGGGCAATGAACCATACTTTTTGCATGATGTCCAATGATTCTACGTGGTTGTCCATTTTACCATAGATGGGGAAGGTTTCATGCTCGTTGGCACTCATCATCAAGGCATATCTGGGACCATGATGAAACTTATGATCCAACGGTGACTAAAACCCGCGTCACTTAGTTATGAAGTCACAGACTGCACTACTAAGCTGTTCAGAACATACAGATGTCTTTCAGTTTTCATGGGGGCATTGTAAAGCTCTCTCTCTTTCTCTCTCCTGCCTTATGATGGTACAAGTATTGTTTAGTTGAAAATGTTGTGTCAGACTCTTATTATTTCCTCATCAACTATTGGAGACTCATTATAAGAATATATGTGAATATAACCCCAGCGTGTTTAGAAAATCAAAACAAGATATTTCTGAACGTTTCACTGTGGAAACCACAGCTTCTTCAGAAGAATATACTGAGTTTTATTAACGTCAAAACACATAGTCAAATGAAACATCAAATATTTAGTGATCGTAGGTCATTGTTTGGGTGCTTTTTCTGTCCAACCTGAGTAATCAGGATTAGTCATTGCAAGTTCATGCTTGTTATTGTCATTTGTCAACGAATATGTAGGATACTCAAAGTGTGTGTATATATATGTGTATGTTGTAGAATATGTGTTGTTTTTTGTTCTTTTATTTATAAACTGTGAATAATTGTTCTAATGAGAAGCCGTGACCTGTGGGGTCAACCAGTCGGAAGTGAAGTGGATGCTAACTGAAGACCTTGGGTGACAGTCACGCTATGTCGTGAATTGACAGAAGTTGGAAATTGTGAACCACTGGGAACCGACCCAGTGGCTGAGTGGTTAACGCATTCGCCGTGAAACCTGAAGGTCCTGAGTTCGACCCCTAGCCGGGTCGTGGGTGCGTACTGCTGAGGAGTCCCATACTAGGACGAAACAGCTGTCCAGTGCTCCCAGATTTTCAATGGTTCCCCAACTGATGTTAGTCCATGAGGAATACTACTTCTAAATTAAAAATCCCCATTCATCTCAAAAATAATTGTTATTGTTATTGAAGTTTCAGTTAGAAAAGGTCATCATTAATGGTTTTGTCAGATTGATGTTTGCCGAATAGGCAACAAGTCTATTCCTTCTTTTCTATTTATAGCACTTGATGTTGTCAAAATATTCAGGGCCTCTTAAGTCAATATTTATGCGAATTGAAACTTTTCCCAATATGTCTACATTCTCAGAGTCAATCATATATCCACTTTCGATTGCATGTATAGCTAATTTTTTAAAATCCAACTTGATTCTTTCGCGGGTGTTCCTTACAAAACATGTGTTCATTCACCTTGACTTCTAAGGTCTAAAACTTTCTCCAACATAATTAGCTTCATATTCCAAACACTTAATTTTGTAGACACAGTCCTTGTGCGTCATCTTAGGAACTGTGTCTTTCGCTTTGACTAAGATATTCTATTTCTTAATCATGAGCGCCATCTGTGACGATATCATATCGCAAAGGTACTTCGGAACAGATTAAAAGAGTATGCGCCTAGCATGGTAATAGAATCTGTTTTAAACCTTCAAATTCATTAGAAAAGATCTTATTCAAAGCTAAAGATACAACTACGTCTACAGAACTAAATGTTTGTAATGTGAAACTAATTATGTTTGAGAAAGTTATAGACCCTTAAAAGTTAGGGTGGATGAACACAGTTAGGCAAGTCCGTCGTCGAATCGCCGAGTATTATCCTTCATGGTTAAGTAAAAGGCAAACCAGATCGATACGAAGCTCAATACTCTCTCGTTTGATTAACACTGGTCACAGAGTTAATACTCATAACGCCTTTAAAGTCATTTATCATATTCCTTCTAATCTCACTCGTACTCTAAGAGTTAGTCTTTTATATTCAGCAGAAGCCATCGGAATCCACTAAACAAGCCGAGTTTGTGTGTTCAGAAGAAATTCGTACAGCCTCTTTCTTTGCCTTGACCACCTGTGTAGCTTATCTGTTGAAACAACATCCTTCCTTTCATTCATCCTACAAATGAATGTAACTATCATTTTGATATTTCCACTGTTAACATTATTATTATTATTGTTACAGCTTTAACCATCTTATTCTCCACCCTACTGTCTGTAATTACCATCAACAATTGACCACTTGACGAAACAGTTCATTTTTACTTCTTTTCGCATCCTGGAGGGACTAAAGGATGCGCTAGATACGAAATTACGACCGGAACAGGCTGGCTGGATTCAGGAAGTACAAATCATGTGCGGATCAAATTGCAACGCTACGCGTCATCATAGAACAGAGTATAAATGGTAGTCAACTCTCTACCTCAACTTCATCGACTTTGAAAGGACCTTCGACAGCGTCGACCGAGAAGTAATTTGACAGTTGCTTCAACAGAACGGACTGCCACAAATCTTTATCAATCTCATTCACAGCTATATGACGACGCCATATGCCAAGTGATCCACAATGGAAAGCTTACTGACGCCTTTGAAGTGAGGACAGACAGGAGTAAGACAAGACAAGGTTGTATACCATCACATAATCTTCCTGATTGTGGTCGACTGGACTGGACTGGATGATGCAATAGACAACTTTGAGGAGCGAGAAGATGGGCATAGGCTGGCTGGACCGATGAAAAGACTCGAGAAGAAGATTTGGATTTCACTATCGATGGTGATTTATGTCTAATGTCGCACAAACTCGAAGATCTACAGGCAAAAACTAACAAGTTGACAGAAGAGGTAGCGAAGACAAGGCTTTAAGTGACGTAGAGAAGATGGAGATGATGAAGATACCCGGCCAACAACAAGCACCAATCACCATCAACGGAGAAATCCTAAGGAAGTTGTCTCTTTCACCTACACCTACCTAGGCAGCATCATCTCAACTACAGGCGGTGGTACAGACGAGGATGTCAAAACCAGGATCGGAAAAGCAAGACAGGCTTTCATCAATCTGAAACTAGTATAGAGATCTACTACACTCAGCACAAAGAACAACAAACTACAGACATACCCATCAACGGTAGCCAACGCTCGACACTGAAGATCAGATGGCCAGAATAATAAGAATAAGCAACAAGTAACTCTGGGAGTGAACCAACCAAACTATCACCCAACAAATATGCAGTGGAAAAAAGTGGAGATGGATTGGGCATACACTGAGAAGGCCGACTGGGGACATCATGCACCAGGTCAGGCAGTCGAGTGGAATCCAAAGGGGAAACGACGAGTTGGGCGTCCCAGCTGAGGGTGACATGGATGAGATGATGTGAGGAAGAAATGAAGCTTTTGAGCAGTCGTGGAGCCAGATTCAAAAGATTGTAGAGAAGTGAGTCAATAGAGGCGTGTTACTGAAGCCCTGTGTTCCACTACGAACCCAAGGGAAGAAACAAATATTTTCTTGTTAGTTTCTATTACACAAAATATCAATTGTCTAACAGACTTTGAGATTTTCACTAAAATTAATCTATGCTTTAAACATTGTCTTAATTATCTGATCATTTATCAACCTCTTGATACTTTGAGATTGATAACCTGTCACTAAACAATTCCCACCACTAGATTGGTATATGATTTTACGTTTTGAAAGTGCTATATATCAGTGTAGAGCCATGATGAGGAACTAAGTTTTTACCAAATGTCTAAATGGGAATTTTCGCATTATCCTAATTACTCAGGCTGGACAGAAAAACCACCTAATCAATGACCTACCTTCACTAAATATTTGATGTATCATTTGACTATGTATTTTGATGTTAATAAAAATCCGTGTATTCTGCTGAAGAAGCTATGGCTTACACAGTGAAACTTCCAGAAATATCTTGTTTGAACTTCCAGGACATTCGCAACAACTATGGTCCAGATGTTTATAACTAATGGAAACCGTTAAAGTATTTCAAAGTATGACAGATGATTGGTGTTTTCAGTCAGTGAATTGTCATCATTTTGAAATGGTGGAGAATCTTTGTAACTCAGGTGGATGGTCATAGTTGTATTGTGTTCTCTGAGCTGAGTTGTAGTCACGACTATACAACTCAGTGATTGTCAGTGATTGCATATCCAATTTATTCAAAATGATATATTGTTCTAGACTTTATCTTGTTAAAGCAGATAATGCGTATTGGTACTGTATCATAACTGCCTCATTTCTTATCATTTCCTAAGTTCACTATCTGCAAATAAGTAATATCAAAATATTTATAAATCTTTTTATACCTGTAATACATTATATAGACATTTGTAGTTAATATTTTTACCCATCTTTTCTATGTGTTTTTCTTTTCATTTGAATAACGTTTAGAATTCGTCTTTATCGAAATGCTAATCAAGTGCCATCAAATTTAAGCAATGGTATAACATGTGTAATTCAAGAGTACATTGAAAATCCACTACTAATAGATGGATATAAATGTGATTTACGAGTTTATGTCTTGATAACATCATGTGATCCTTTGAGAATTTTCATGTATAATGATGGTTTAATACGACTTGGCGCTGAAAAATATGTTAAACCAAATGAACCAGAAGGAGTAAGCTTCTTCAATAGTAATAACGTTGAAAGTATTAAACAATAATAATAATAATAATATACTATTATTATAGTTGGAATAGTTTGTCCTCTATTTTATGTGATTTTAACTAAGAGATTTTTGTAAAGGAATCTGTAGAAGAGGGGAGAGAAAATAATAGAAATTTACCCATTGATCACATGCACACTTGTGCAGCAAGCGATGTGTAAGGGCTACATGCTGGAGTTGTGGCTCAGTGGGTTAGGGAGATGAATATTTAGTCAGTGGGTAAGGGGTTCGAAGACCAGTCCACTACCAAGGTTTGGTCGGCCAGGTAGTATCACTAGACCTCACACAGTAGGTGTGGCTCAGTGCCTATTGCATGAATGTGCACAGGGTGGTCGAGTGTGTTTCATTTTGTTTGTTGTAAGAGCTACTGATACTACCTGACTACTCAAACCTCTATAGGTGGAGTGGGGTTTGGACTCACAACCCACTGGTTGAATACCAACCACTTAAACCAATCAGCCTAAACTCTACATGACAATAGAGCACTGGAAAGCTATTTGAAGATGAATTCGATGACGCCCAGTCGTCGATTTATGAAGTGTAGTATCTCACAAATAAGGAATGAGGAAGGCTATTCACTGAATCTAGTAGGGTTAAAAATGTGCGTAATTAAATGCTCAAATGAAGGTTGAGTGACAATACTTTTACAACAGAACCCTTAAAATCCCTAAGTCAAATGTGATACAAGGTTAAAGATGTGCGTTGCTGATTAGTGTTGAAACAAGATGCAATGGTCATTCGATGCTTCTAGCCCATAAGCGTCTCTCTAGCTGATTTCAGCTTGTGAAGTTTAGAACCTTCAAAGTGATTTTAGTTTGCAAAGATTACTTCAGCTTTCTGAGAATGTGTGAGGAATGGGATTGCAGATGTATGGATTACTATTCTAGATTTAATTTAATAGGATGTAACGAAATATTCACACTAGGGTATGACAATTAGTCTTCATTATGAGCTATTTTACAACTTTTTTGACAGACAGTAGTTTTAGTGTCAGACAACATGCAAACTCTTCACCTTTATGAGGCTCCATCAATGACCATAGTGTGGAATTTATTTGTGATTCGGTTTTTGGTTAAAAAACAACAACATACGATTACTTGTAGCACGGATTGAGTAGATTTTTATCTCATCTGAAACTGAAGTACACTGCTTGAGATGACAGTTATGAGAACAGATACCTTCTCAGAAGAAGTTGCTTACTCTTTTCTGGTAGAAATCATGTGAAATCTATTTTACGCTTCCACTTTTTGTGTCCTCAATCTCCCAGCCACGTTTCCCACCTTGTGCGCATAATCACTTTCAGCTTATACTACTTTTTTGACAGTAAGTAGTATTTTTGGAATCTTTCAATAATTGTATGGCTTAAAGTACTATATTGTCAATTTCTGGCAATAATTTTATTCTCCAACCTATTTTCATCCGTTTTCGATTTGTGATTGCATCCTATCTTAATTCTAATCATAACTCTTTTAAATTCTATCCGTAACATGAATTATGTATAAAGTTAAAATCTTGTCATTATCTCCTTGTGTAAACTTAGTTGGTAGGGAACCGAGTTGGCTATCCGGAGGCAGGTTATTCGAATTCTGCCGTTCCACTCTCAGTCATCCCTTCTTACCGATAGCACCGATAATAACCTATACTAAATGATTAGTTTTTGGACGGATTTATATTTCAGTAAAACTTACTGACAAGAAAGTCTATTATGACTAACTTGTTACAATTTATGCGACAAATGAAACTGGTAAAAAACAGTCAGTGATCGATGACTGTTTACTTTCGTGGATAATAACTTTCATCAACTCAAAACAGTTGAAGTGTTGTAGTTAAATGAATATGTTATCAACAAGACAATAGCTATTCCTTCGGATAGTTAGTTCTTTAAAAAGTCAATTTTCCTACAACGTAAGTTAGCCTTTGTGTAAACACCAGAAAATTAACATTTTATTCACAGCTCTGTCTTCAGTATATTTTCTCTTCGAAATGTGTATCAGCCGTCAGATGGTTTCGTTATAATTCAGTAGTCTTCAGCTGATGGTTCTCAATGTATGTTGAATATTTTCTACCAACTTAGTCATTTTCAAACCTCCCGTTCAGAAGTAAAAACACTTACGAAATATAATTCTTGTACCTTAACCAGTTCAACTAGATCTAACTGTTGATAGGTCTGACCTCTAACTAGCGAAGTACTGTAGTGAGAATTGGATCAACTCAATATAGCTCGTGAGCACTACTGACTAGTGGGTGAGGTTTCCAACTACTCGTGTCAGTCAGAAGCACATACCATGCAATCCTTCATCTCACTTACCTGAAACAGCTCCAAATATCCAACAGATCACGAATTACAGGCTAAATACTTTGGTTTTTGATAGAAATTCCAGTTGATACCCTTCCCACTACGAAGTGTGAAACTTGTGAAAGCTTTTTCTTCAATATCAGGTTACTCAAGTTGGGTTCCCTGATTTCTTTACCAATTTTGTTTCTTGTGTACAATAATAATATTGATGAAATTTATCAACCGTATCCAGATGAAAGTACAAAGCCACTACTTACACCTGTTGTACATCGCCTAATGAAAACACCTGGTTGCCCAAAAATTCAATAAGTGAAGTGAGTTTTAAACCAGTGATCTGATAATCGATTGTCCTGATCAAAAGATTAACACTCTTACTTTTCCAGTAGTGTTTTCCTGCTTATTATTTCCACTTGTAACTTAAAGCAATATAGAAATAGTAAGGACTATTTTTAGCCAAGGGTATGTGAGCTTAAATTGAGCTCAAATTTTGATTGGCAAACTTTTCAATGTCACGCTGGACATCGTAGTCAGTACCGTTGGATCGGTGTGTATGCAACAGCCTCATTGGTTAACTTTTCTCTACTGAATTCAGTCCTTGGAAGTCACTTTATCCTAATTGGTCAGCTTCTTGTGTTTGAATGAACTGTTGAAGGTTGCAATAATTCGACTGTCTGTGCACTCATCATTAATCACTTTCTTGTCTTTTTAAAATATCTAGGATTCAGTTTATCGACATTTAACTAATTACGCTGTCAATAAATATCATGAACAATACAATCGTTCTGATGATGAAATGTCCGGCAATAAACGCTCATTTGCATTCTTTGATAATTATATACGTGATGTAAAGAAATGTGATCCATTCAATGTTTGGCAGAAAATACGTGATTTAATTATTAAAACAATAACTATCGCTTTGCCATATCTTTTACATTCTTATCGTGTGTGTCGTCGTAGAACAAATAATTGTTATACTGGAAAAATGACGAAATCCAATTTAAAACAAACTGCTATCAGTAGAAGTGATGAATATTCAATGTTCAATGAATCGAATAATAAATCCAAGTTATACTCACCTGATGCTAAACGATTAATGACTGATAAGTCCAATGTTCAACGTCTATCAGCATCACCACCACCAGTACGAACATCAACAACAAAAATAACATCGTCAAAAAAATCAAAAGGTTCAACCAACTATCTTTCAACACCATTTATTTGTTCAAATTTATTTGAAATTTTAGGTTTTGATATTTTATTAGACAAAAATTTAAATCCATGGTTAATTGAAGTAAATCGTTCACCTAGTTTTAATAGTGATCAAGAATTGGATAAACGAGTTAAGCATGGTTTACTGACAGATGCTTTTCGTCTTCTGAATATAAGGTTGGTGAATTTTGTTTTCGTTTGTTTGCACTAGGTAGAAATTAGGAGGTTTAAAACTTTAGCATGCATGTTAAAAGGAGTGATAACTTTGTTTTATTACTTAGTTAAATGTTTTCAAACTGATAAACTTTTTCAGGTTAAAATTTATCATGGAACGTGTAGGTCCTGGGTTCGATCCCCTCGGGTTCATGGGTGCTGACTGCTAAGGAGTCCAATACTGAGACGAAATGGCTGTTCGGTGCTCCCAGGTTTCCAATGTTCCTTCAACTGATTTCAGTCCATGATGAATTCCAACCTGAAATCAGTTGATGAATCTTCACAAATTCCCAGATTGATATACTTTTTGTTCGTATCCTACTATAAGCCAGTGGTTAGATAACCTGAAAGGATGAAGTTATCATCCTGTGAGTGTTATTATTATGATCCGGTGTACACAGTTAAAATATTAATCAATAGCTTTCATTAGTAAGGGGGTATTATGACTCAAAACAAGTAGAATCACTTCGTTAAGAAAGAGTATCGATTGGTAAACTGAACTGATTGATAGCCTTTCCTATTGATGACTGTCTACGAGAAGAAACAGAACAACAAAGTACACGTGATTAAAAATGATTTTAGAGATTAACCCCAGTGAACTAAGATTATGAGTTCACCAAGTGGTGAATTAGTTTATTGGCATTGTCACCACCTACCTCGACGTGCAATGCTGGGGGAGTTGGATTAATTTGGAAGAGGGTGGTCAGACCAAGACATGGCACCAGTCAATGAAGTCTCTGACTGATGGTTCGAGTCGTATGGGGAGATGCGGACTACCTAGTTTGGGTCTACAAGACGAAAGGAATCAGTGGTTGAGGTTTCTTAGTGACATGTCTGAAAATCGGTCACAATAGCACAGATATATTCACTCCATCACATCTTTCAAAGCCTGAATATTCACACTAACTTTTATCTTCAAACTATTGGTTCTCTCACATAACTATATCCACTTTGATATCACACTTTTTCTATCCACCTGTTCCTTGTGTACTGCTGTGAAGTGCGGAGACGTGAGCCAATGCATCTGTGTGCGAGGTGGTTCCATGTTGATTTTATTTGTATCTGTGTCTTATTCACAGGCCAATCGCATTTCTCATGAACTTTTGATATATTGATTTGGAAAGGTAAATAAAACTGTCTAATCATTCCCAATGTGCTGGTTAGAGTACACATTACCTATTCCCATTCACCAAGTATTTTTATTTACAATGATGGCTTCAAAAGCAATATCAGTAGCATGAGTGTACAACAGATATCATACTGGCTTTTGACATTTTTCTGTTGTTTAGAATGCAAAATGTCATGAAGAATCCATAATGTTTTGGAGGAACAAGTGTTGTCTTAGAATACATATTACTGGCATAAGCTCATCAGCGCCTTCTCTCTCTTTCTACACTGAATATCTTATAATTTTACTGAATCTTGTTCCTGCAGTATCTGCAAGCGATATAATAAAACCTGAGACATTTTCTACCCATTGCCTTGATTAATAGGACGTTCTCAATCTGTAATTCATGGTTATTGGTACTCGTCAGCAAGGCTCATATATATCCTGAAGCGAACTGATATCCCTTAAGACAGCCTAGTTCGTGTTACACAGTACTCCATTAAGAGATATCACGATTGAGTCATTCAGACTGTGATCGACTTCATGTGGTACTGGAGAGTAACCAAACCCTACTTAAACTGAGAAGGTGAGAAACAGTAGGTTGGCTTTGGGAAGATACACCAAACACTGAACCAAACCTTTTTTCTGGGTTCATTATTCATTCTCCGTCTACATACAAAAATGAATGAGCATTTACTCGCTTAAAATTTGTGTGTCAACTCAAGTCTTGCGGAACAGAGATTTCACGCATACCAAAGAATCTTCAGAAGCATGACGTTCAAGTCAGCTGAAGAGTAATGGACAGTTTTTACATAGACCTAGTCTGTTTAACGACTGAACACAATAAAAATTCAGGTGATCGGTCAACTGGCTGAGATAACCAAAAGTTACAGAGCACTAACCCAGCTTCCTATAGGAAGCTGGGTCATTTAGATTGCCTATGTGATAATAGTGAACCAAGCGATGGCCATTTGGTCCTGCTTTAAAACTTCTTAGGTGTTGGCACACTTAATCCAGTAGATAATCAAGCTCAAATCTTTTTAATCATCCACGATGTGTATATCATTTTTGAACCACTGGATCAAAATCCTCAGTCAGTTAAAACGGTTACGATAATGATCATTAGTAATTAGTATGCTTAGGGCAATGTTTGACGATATTTGTGACGAAAAGTAGCAGTTTACTTCTTTCTGAAGTTCTTGCTGAAAAATCGTTATTCAACTCAGACTACAAAATATGAGGCTGTGTTAGTGCTGAGTAATAAAAGTTAGTCAATTAGTGAGATTGTAAAACTTCACTGACCATGGTGACTTGGGCATGTTCTGAGGACACCAGTCTACTTTTTACCTCAAAAAGCGATGCTAACCTAAGCAAGATAAGGTCGGAATAAGTCCTTCGGTGTTGACCTAAGTCTGCATATATAGCCCTGGCTTGCTGGGGTCCTCGAGGGGATGGAAATCAATGCTTACAGGCTCTTGGTGATATAGTTTAAAGCCTGTCACAATGGCTCAGGCGTATGCACTACTTATCGCCTTCAGTGTGCACACCGCCCGTCGCTACTACCAATTAAATGGCTTGGTGAAGTCGTTGGATTAGTGTCGTTGAAGTGGCTTGTCACTGGACTGATGTCGAGAAGACCACCTAATTTGACGATGTAGGGGAAGTAGAAGTCGTAACAAGGTTTCCTCAGGTGAACCTGCAGAAGGATCACTACCAGACATCCATGTATAGATACAAAACCGAGCTGAGATGGCCAGCGTGTTTACTTATGCAAAATGTGTAGATTTTAGGTCCATTCTCATGCTGATCTGTGTTAACGCATGCCAGTAAAACCCTTACATCAAAAGGGGAATCCCATTTCTTCTATGAGTACGGCTGCCATATTTATTAACTTGAAATGATACACTATTGCGTTAGGTTTTACGTGGAATTGCTTATCCTTGAGAGAACAGAAAACTACCATAGACTGAAAGTTATTATTATTATATGTTACAGCAAACAGATTGACTTTCAGAGACAATCTCAATTCCTTTTAGTTATCACATTTGATTGTTCCCATCATTAGTGATCATTTTAATAACTTATACTATGATGAAGAATCTTAGAGGTGGGATGTGGGAAATTAGGATGAATGAAATGGTACGAATGCTTCTCATACAATTATCTACCTTAAACAAAAAGGTAGACACGAATTTTTATAACTCCATAACTTTGAGACAGAGTTTATGTATTCCTAATTTTCTCTCCTTCTTTGTGATGACAAGGGTAGTAGAATTTTCAATATATCTGGGACAGGTGCAGAACTATTTCGACTGGATGTATTTAGTATTGATTCGATAAACAAAGATTAGGTTATCAATCTCTCCCTTCACTCAACTAAGTTAGGTTTGGACGCTGTCGCTGTTTATCGAACCAACGCCAAATACATTCAATCGAAATGATTCTGCACTTGTCCTAGATATATTGAAAATTCTACTACCCTTGTCATCACAAAGTAGAAGCAAAAATTGGGAATATATAAACTCTGTCTCAAAGTTGTGGAGTTACCAATATGGACAATAAATTGTGTTCGAAACGTTATTCAGTAAATGCTATTGTTTCACTGTGTGATATTTCTAATAAACAGACTAAAATGAAATTACAAACTACCACACTGCACAAGTTTTACTCTCATATTTTTAAGTTATGTTTTTAATAGAAGTCCATTTGAGTACAGTTTTTTTTTCAAGATATCTAATTTCCTCTTAATTAAAATAATTTGTACTTCATACCAAAATAGATTGAAATAACGTTCCAGAAGATGACATGTTGGACAGATTTTCCATGATAGTTTTTTTCCCGCCTACTGTGCAATTCTATCTACATATAATGTTGACTACATTCTTCATGATGATGTACAATGCTCCTTGTTGATACTGAAGACCAGTGACCTATTACCACTTGGATTTTTGAGTCTTGTGTTGTTTAAAGCAACTGGTCCCTTTGATAAATTCAAACAGCGTAATGAGAAGACGAAGATTATCTGAAACATGTGATGTATTTGCGCTATACATTTCGAACAATCTGATCACACATGGACTTGTCGAACTATTTGTGTGAAAATTTACGAAGAAGGTCAATGAAGTTAATAGGAAACATCAGTACCTTGGTAGTACTGATTTTAATTTTCATACCAAGAGTAAAGTTTTTCTTTTTCTATCCCTTCCTATTCCTATGTTTCCTATTAACTTCATTGACCTTCGTAAATGTTCACACAAATAGTTCGACAAGTCCATGTGTGATCAGATTGTTCGAAATGTATAGCGCAAATACATCACATGTTTCAGATAATCTTCGTCTTCTTGTGTTGTTGTTTGTTTGAAATCCACTAAATTGTACTTCATAGCTTTATACAATTTATGACTATAGTATGACTATAGTCCACTAACATTCGTGAATATCTACAGTTGGTTGGTCTTACAGGACACAGCCTCCAAAAGAGACTTAGAAAAGTTTCTGTCAGAGATATATTGCAAATAATCCATCAATTATTTTCTAATTCGTCAGTGTCTAAGAAGCTGACTGATCGAATATTATGATTATTTTCGATGCGATCATCTGTGATAGCTCTAGTCTACTAGACTGCTTTTTAATATAAGTGGTTGACGCTAGCATTTGAATGAAACCGTTGTTTGTCACCGAATTCAAAGCAACCGCCTCCAGGTTACACTGCTCTCATTTAAACACCACGCTATTTTATCACTGTCTTTTTCGATTATGATCAAGTTTACGATTTCTTTTTCAGACCATCTGACAAATCTCGTACAGAAAAGCAACAAAAGTTGAATACAATCAAACGTTTATGCAGCCAATCTGTGCAAACACAAAACTGGATGAATTCAACTCATCTTCCTCATAGTAGTGGTAGTACGAGTTTGAACAGTAATCAATTAACCTTCAAAATTTTTCAAAATGGATCACTCCAGTCCATATCTTCTAAAAAGTCTGACCTGTCATTTTCAAATCATCCCACACATGGTTCTGTTAAACCAATCATTAATAAATGTCAGTTGGAGGGTTCAAAATTGGACTGGGAAATCGATTGCTTAGTAAGACAGACTTTTAAAAAAATGTTATTTGATTTTCTTCGTAAAATATTTCAGTAGCTTGCATTTCCTCCGACTCAAGATTAATCAGAAAACCAGCTACTTAGAATTTATCATACAGACAGATAAATCAAAGTAGAACATGACATAGTAGGGAATAGGTTCAAGCTGTCACACTTCCCAACAGCATGTAAAGAAAAGATGAATAGAAGAGGTGTTAATAAGGTAGAAAGAAGTATATCAGATGAGTGAATTAGAGGGAATGTTCAAGACTTTGAAGATGAAAAAGATGATATCTGCACCATTGTCGTCAATTTTAGACGGTATCATCAAGAGTCTCCAAATATAGATTCCTAGCATCTCAAAGATAGCAATGGGTGGCCTACATCTTTCTTCAAGGCTAAACCAGTAATCAGGGTCCTTATGGATGAGTACCATGTCTTTCCCTTGCTACCTTCAGCTTTCTACCCAACTAATCCTTCTCTGGCTTTCATCAAGCGCCGGGGTACTTCTGTCACTGTAAGCACCGATTTAAATAACAACCTCAAAACCAAGTAATCATATTTTTATTATCTAGTCACTCATTTTCTAGAAGACATTTCTAGGTATAATATTTCCTTTCGTGAGTAATTTGATGCTACCATTAATTATACTAAAAAAGGCATTCACTGATAACAGGGCGTCGGTGAAATTCTAGCTGGAAAGCCTGTAATACTTCAGACTCAGAGCTATGTCTGTCTCGTGTGAACAAGTAGAACTCAATAAATCCCATATCAGTTCGGCTCTCTGAGCTGAAACAATTCGGGTTCACTGCTGATGAGTTCGACCTCAAACAAACAAAACGGTCTTCCAGTGCCTAGATCACTTTGATCTAGCTAGCAAGCCCTGCTGATTTATGTCAGTGGTCTATAACTATTTACATCAAACGGTAGTGTGTTACATCGAATCCCAGTAGTAAACAAGTATCCTTTGTTACAAAAAGTATGATTGTTATAACTATGCAGCCAATCATAGGACTGTAAATGATCTGTTATGGTTATCAGTCGTATTGTAACTCTCACTAGGATTATATCTATTTTAGACAAAAAGTATATGATCACATAAGTGTGCACCTTTCATTCCACATCTGTACAGCAAATGTTTACATGTTAATGAAGTTTATTCTGATTGACTTGGAAAGTAGAAAAAAGTCTCAGAATATTTCAAAATATGTATTCTGAATTCTGTCCAGATATTTGGATAGGTTATTTTACCAAAACATACGTTTGATCGTATGAATTATTATGAGTTGATGAAAAGCTATGTTGAAAACACATGTGCACAGGTTGAAACTTGTGTCATTAACTGATATCTACCAAAGAACTTCTGAAAACCTCAGGGAAATCGGCACCTGTTTCATCCTACTTTCAAACTCCTCAATAGTAAACACTGTTGACAGTGTGCTTAGTCGAACTCAAGACATTCACATATCATGGTGTACAAAATTTAACTTATCTGCTTGGTTAAAAAAAAACATCGGTTACCGTTTCCAACCCCAGCCAATCCATGGTAAAACTAAACGTCATTATTTCTAGTAAAAACTTTGAAGTCTTATTACCTCTACAGTCAATTCTCTATTTTTCCAGATAATTCCTTTTCATGCTATCAGATTAATTCTGTGCTTGACTGAAGCAGCTTGAAAAAGACTAATCTTTCATCACTTTGTTTTATCACGTAAAATGAGGAGATTCCTATCAGTTTAAACATTGATACAAACGCGTTATAATGAACTGATTGAAATGAACTTAACTCCAGTACTTAGTATATTGATACAAAAGGATATTTGGCTGGAAGCTATCTGTAAGAAGTCACGGACCTAGATTCTGTGCTTGTTGGGACTCCTCACCGAGACGTATCTGCAACTACAAGGGAATTTATGTCTCCTGTGAGGTTTAAACTCATATCGCCCAGTGTAGCAATCAGAAACGCTAACATTGACCTACTTAGATCGTAAATGACCTCCTGAAAGACTCGATTAGACACATTAATTATTAGTTGGAAATTAGTTCTGATATAATTTTATTGATCATTCTGCGTTGTGGTCGCCAAGCTAGAGAACTTATCATAGGAGTACGCTTTGATGTATGCTATTCAGTTAACTGAATGATGAAATGGTCACTGTTGTTCCATCATAGTCCTGAAACCGCTGACAGATGATGAAATTAAAGAAGAAAACACTGATTTTCAAAAATAGTGAGTGAGCACCAAACTTCCTGTCCAGATCCTTTCCCACTCCCTCCTGTTAGGACTGATTTGGATTGATCTACTTATGCGTTCAACCAGAGATGCATGAAAATGTTGGTTAAATGACTGTGTGGATCTATATACGTATATACTTGTCGCATCTTTAAGAAGAGGTTTAACTAAATAACATACCATAATTAATTTAAGGTTATTGGTAGTGATCAGTGTTTAGAGACAAAGGAACAAAAGCTATACACTGTAATGAATTTTCGCGAGACTAATTACTTCACCTTTCTGAAGAAAAAACACTTGGAAAGGACAGTGAAATAAGAGTATAGGTGAGTAATTTATATTGCTTCTTTCGACTGATATCTATCACTTGATGAAGAAATCTGTTCTCAGTCTACCCAATGAAAACCAACTTTTTTTTTATTTCAGTAATTGCTATCCTTGGTTATGAAATAAATCTATACATCTAACAAACAGGTAGATGTAACTACTTTCCTCATGCAATATAGATATATTTCGTAAAAACGTTGAATTTGATTGAATATTCTTGTTAAAATTGAGAGCAATCGACTAAAATCTTTTTCATCTCATTGACATTGTTGAACAACCAACTCTGTGGCTGGTATTATGGATTTTTTCTACACAGGAGCCTATATACCCACAGAGATCAATCCATTCGGTCAAAACTAACCAAGAATAGGAGATTAAAAAAACTCCAATATCAGACTATACTCGTCTGCACAAGAAGTAGCTGTAGTAATTCAGTAGCCTAGTGGGTGGCGCTCCGATGACTGAAGTGGTGAGTGCTGGGTTCGAGTCTCATTGTGAACACCCTCACTGAGAGGCAGTTATATTTAGCTCGTAGGTCCCAAATAAGACTTAATTCACTCTCGGCATTCCCCAGTATTCCACTCACTATCCGTTCTTAATATCAAGATAAAACCACCGTCCATACCAAGACATCCTACATGGGAGCCCATATACCAAAGCAGGCTTATCAATTCGACTGAAATCAGTTAAAGGGAATTAGCAAAACCTAATATTTATGTGGTTGGCTTATTCTTGTTTATATCATAAAATTTGTGTACAACCGAAAAAAAAAAGAGTGTTGTACGATTTTTTTGATAGGTGAGGTATTCTAACTTTAAGGTTTCAATTAATGATTCAAGCTATAAAACTTCATTATTTTCTTCATTTTTCAATGACAATTTAATTACTGCTTATTTACTTATTTATTTATTCAAATTTACTCTTTTTTAAAATTTATTAGCGGCAACAATTATCTTCAATACGTCAACAATTAGCACTAGAATTCTATGAACATCATAATAGCGGTAATTGGTGTCGTATATTTCCAACAGATAATCCAATATTACAAAGAAATACGCTGGATTGATTATGGCTAGTTTTAGGCAATTTCTTCATCGAAATGAAGGACATCTATTAGAGGAGTTGAAAACAACATACTTGAATCCGATCACTGTAAATATTTGCTAGTGGTTTACTTGTTGCTTGTGCGTTATTTTTTTTCTTACTAATTAACACTTCATTTAAATTGTTAGAAGTTATTGTTGGGTTTATATTTGTTCCCACTAGCTGGTTATGTATATCTTCAGTTCCTACAAAGTAAATACTTTATTCAGATATCTCAGCCTATATTTTTCAGCTCCAGAGTCAGAGATGCTGAAGTAGAACTAGTTGGGTCATTCATGACACTTGCCAAGGGTTGGATTATCTGTATCGGATAATTATTTCAGCGGTGATACTATATTATTTATTGATACTTTTAATCTGTCATGGTTATAACGGGATCGAATTGATCAACCTGTATTGGTATATGAATCTCCCGTGCATATGTCTTGATATTGCCTGGAGAGTCATCGTATTATAAATTTCTTGGTGATGGCTAGCAGCGGAATCAAGGATGCACATTTTTTCGTATTTGGGACTCGTCTGGATTTATCTGCATTCCACTGGACGGTTATTTTTCCCACTGGGACTCAAGCCCAGGACCCACAGCTTCAAAAGCATTAGTAGCCAAGTGTTTAACACTTCGACGTTTTAAGCAGTGGGCTCTGGGTTCCAGTCTCATTTAGAAAACAATGAATCATTATGATGCAGGTACATCTAGTTGACTAATCCCGAACAGGACAAAACTTGTATCCTGCATTTCAGTGCTACCTATCTACAAACAAACTACCATGATGGTGATATTGTATTCCTAAATTTCCTCAGGGTTGAACCGCTGTGAATTGTCTTGATGTGAACTGTTGCACTTATCCACCAGGTTCTGCGCTGAACTGAGCAGAAGGAAGTGGGTATAAGACAAATCACGTGAAAGTAGACAAAAGTTGAAGAGTGGACAATGAAAGTATAGAGGACTTCATACCTGACAAGCAGTGTATAATTCTAGTGTCACTATGATTTATATTTAGGCAGATCACTAATGGTTTCTACCGTTTTGAGGGCAGCTCAGAGCAACAGTCAGAAATCAAATAGACTGGTATCACTTTTGGTACAGCAAGTTAGACTTCTTTCAACATAATCCTACTTTGATTAAAATATCACTTCGATGAAGAGGGTGGATTGAACATATACTGTAGATATTCAGTCAGTGAAGGTCCACAATTTCAGCGACTAGTCCACATTTTTTGTCCCTAACTCCAAGATTTGTCCCATAAGGATCTCACCATACCGGTTAAGTTTTACTAGGACACCTGTGACTGAAAGAAAACTTCAATCTTTTGGAATCGTTTACTTTCTACGAACATAACTCAAAGCCATATAGAAATATATCTAATTTTTAACAAATTTATGATCAGAAACATCTTTGTATTTATCACTGACCTGTAATTTAATAATGTAAAACTGAATGTCAGTTGATTAAGATTCATCTAAGAGGTGACATTAACCGAGTCAGGAAAACCCAGGAAATCTAAATTAAGTCAGAAAAGTTGTTTTATATCATCACAGATATATATATATATATATATATATATATATATGATGGTGTAGTCTTTGATTATTACTCTGAAGAAATTCGGGCTAGACTTCCTTGACGGATATTGGAATTATTTTATTTAAAGCGAACTGTGACTTGCATAAATATTATCTTCTATAGCTAATGTCTACTTTAGCCATTTTTCAAGTAGTTGTAATGAAAATGCATAAAACAACTTTTCTGACTTTTTGCACTCCCTTCTTCTGCTCAGTTCAGCGCAGAACCTGGTGGATAAGTGCAACAGTGCACAACAAGACAATTTACAGCGGTTCAACACTGAGGAAATTTAGGAATACAATATCACCATCACAGTAGTTTGTTTGTAGATGGGTAGCACCATTCATTAGGATGCAGGTAAATCCAGATAACGAGTCCCATATAAGACGAAAGGCTAAAATCGGTGCAGTTCATCTCATCATCTAACCATGTCTAGATTATCATTGTTTTTCAATATGCTCTATTTTGGTATTTTTATCCCCCAATGAATGTAAAACAAAATAAATTTATTTCAACTGACGTTTCGCTACTTAGTGCTAATAGTCAAGTTATCATATTTAAGCTTGGATATTGCGAATTCCAGTTTACTATAACTTTAATAAAGGTATTAGCACTAAATACCGAAATATCAGTTGAAACAAATTTACTTTATGAATGAAACATATTTGTAAAATCCCAATGAATTGAAAAGGTAAATTTCTGAAGTTTCACGACTTCCTGGGAATCGCTACTTCAGAGAATAAAACCTGTACAAGTTATCGATTGTTTAACTAGTGAATGGTGACGAATCAGATCATTTTGTCTATTCATGATTATAATATGAAGATAAATGTCATTGAATTTGAGGGTTTGTGGGGATTTATAGATTTTCGCAGTTGGTATTCATCATGGACTGACATCGATTGGGGAACCAATGGAAACCTGGGAACACTGGACAGCTGTTTCGTCCTAGTGTGGGACTCCTCGGGAATACACACTCTTGGCCCGGTTAGCAGTCGAACTCAGGACCTTCAGGTTTCACAGCGAATGCGTTAACTATCCGGGTCACTGGGTAGGTTTTCCGTGGGTCACAGTTTCCAACTTCTGTCAGTTTACAATCTAGCGTGACTATCACCCAAGGTCTTCAGTTGGCACTCGCTTCACTGCCGACTGGTTGACCTCACAGATCACGGCTTCTCATTAAAGTTTCATGATATCCGTCTGAAAGCAAGTCACTAATGAGTAATGTAAAATACATAAATGTCATCGTTATGCTGGTCAGGAAGCGTTCACAATCTGTCTTTGTTATCTATTAATTAGTCTGGAGTTCAAGGTGAAAGTGTAAGAAAAATGAATAATATGGATGTTGTGTGTATGTACTTTAGTTCTGATCATTGTGTGGTGTGCTTTTTTTGGAAATACTATCCAGGTTGGCTGGATAGTTAAGTCTACCTTTCTGTTAAGTACATTAGGATTCAACATAATGTGAAATGCCTCGGGTAGTCTTCTTTCTTTGTAGTTTGAAATTCTCTTCTGAATAACTTTAATATTTTCAATATCGATTTTGTGACTGTGATAGATGGCATGTACTGCGATTGCCGACTTGATTTGTAAATTCTCAATTTCTACAGGCTTATTTAGCTGGCGTTTTGTGCACGTCCTTTAGCCCGAATGAAGATCTCACTGGATGAGTCCTAATATAATAGGCATCATAATCGACACAGCCTAATCTATGTGGACACAATTCTGTGTGGAGGTAAAGAGAACTTTATCTTTTACGTGAACTAGAGCACTCCTGAGCGTTGGGTGTCTTGTAAAAGGTTCTAGTTCAATACTTCCTCAAGATTCTTTGGAGCTCTCCAGTTGTACCTTGGGGGAATGGTAGAACTACTGTGCTAATCCAAGAATCATTATTTGAATCTCCTCTTAGGTTCTTCTGCTCATGTTTCTAGATCTTTTGAATGACATTATTAAGGTAGCTATTGGTATTTAGTACATCTAATATATTATTTACTGCCGTTTGCCTGTCATCTTCACTCGTGATGAGCTTAATGACTCTCCTGAATAAGCTCCAAGAAAGTGAAATTTTAGCGCTGAGTGAATGTGCTGAGTTGAAATCAAGATATCGATTTGAATGTGTTGGTTCACGACAAATCGATAAACTTAGACTTCTGTTTCCATTCCTTTTAACTAAACAGTCTTAGAATGGTAGTTCACTGCTTACACTTTTATGTTCACATGTGAATTTAATAAATAGAGAATAAGTGTTAATTAATTTCGGAAAGGTTCTGATGCCAGATCTTTCTAAAATTACGAATGTATCATTTACGTATTTGAGCCAAATACGTGATATGATGGCGTTAAAAAATATGACTGATTCAATGTGGGATTTGAAGAGGTTTGTAACGATAGGGGACACCGGAGAACCCATAGCTACTCCACTAGTTTATTTGTTTAATTTTCCTCTCAATGTGAAGAATATCCACTTTAAACAAAATTTAAGTGCTTTCATGATGAGGCTAGGGTTCAACGGAGATCTATCTGACAGGGTGTGATCACATTCTAGCAGTTCACTTCTGAACTCTAAACATTTTTGAATAGGAATACTAGTATACAGTGAAGCAACATCATAACTTATCATTGTTTCATTCCCTGCAATAGATTATTCCGATATTCTTGAATTGAATTCATACAAGTCTTTAATTGAGCTAATAATAGAGTGTGATAGAGGCTTTAGTAATGATGCTAGATATTTAGACAAAGCATATGTTGTGGAATTTGTAAAATCTACTATCGGTCTCAGAGGGACATCGTGTTTACGAATTTCCGGTAATCCATACAAGTATGATGAAGCGCATGATTTTGGATATAAGGAAAACCATAATGAGTCTCCGATGAACAGTCTCAGTTCCTTTAAAAGCTGACCTGTTTCTGTTTTCATCTCGCTGTTCGTTGCTTGGTAGTTTTTTTTATTAGATTTCTTCATAGGGACCGGTTGAAAGATGTTCGTATGCTTTATGGTCGTAGTCACTTTTGATCATAATCACCGTTTCATTTCCTTTATCTGCCTTAGTAATGACGATGTTTTTATCCCTTCGTAGGTTTTGGAGGGCTGATTGTTCTTCTTTCGAAATGTTTGGTGACATATATACGTGTTTTCGTACATGATGGGAAGCCTTCTGAGGTAAAATGTGAACGTCTTTATCTAGTAGTTTTTGGATCACCGATTCGATGAAGGGTGCCACTTCTAGAATGCTGAATGGTTTCCTGTTTAAGTTCAGACCCTTTCCTAATAGTGTGATCTCATGTTGTGACAGGTTTCTGTTCGATAAATTATGGACAACCTTCTAGTTGGTAGGTAGATTGGTCTTTATCTGATGAAGTTTTCTTTCCTTCTTTTGACGTTTTCATTCTTTCAGATATTTTGATTTACCTGCATTTAGAAATTTTCAGACAGTGATTTTCTCTTTGGTTGAATGTAGGAAACATTGCATTATGTAGTTTC